TGGAGGCTACAGTGTATCTAGTAGAAATAGTGGGTCAGCTAGTGACTAGCAAGAAACAGGAATATAGAGAAGAGAAAAATATAAAGCCAGGTAGGTTAAAGGTATAAAAGTATGTTTAAATAAGAGCAATATGTTTGAATATTCCATTGCATACTAGGGTAAATATAATTAACAATATTTCATCATTTATCTAAAAAAATGTTTTTGGAGATGTTTTTGCTACAGGGCACATGTGCTCAGCTCACTGGAAAGAAAGAGACAGACTGAGAGACAGAAGGCAAGAAATCACCCCCCAAGGGGGGATGGTCATACTGCAATCTCTTCTCCTCCATTCTCCTCTGGGGATCTTGGTCACGCACACATACACACCTGGCATGAGTTTAAGCCACCAGGTCTGGGACTTGAACCACAGTCGACTACATGGGAGTCTGGCGACATATACATTATGCCAATTGCTGTCCCATAAAAATGAATTTTTTAACGTTTCCAACAAAAAGTATAAATGTTTGAGGTGTGTATATGACAATTAACCTGATGATCATTATATATTGTATTTATGTATTGAAATGTCACACTGAACCTCACAAATATATTTAATACATATGCACCAATTATTAAAAATAAATAATATACCCTAAGAAAATTCTGGAAATACGTGACCTATAGGAGAGTGCTTTTGATAAAGAATACATCTGCAGAGTAAGTGAAGTTGTGATTTTAATGCAGATAAATAGATTCCCCCAGCAGCAACTAGGTTACAAAAATCATTACACATCTGTACCTCTTTGTTGCCCATTGCTTCTTCTAAACTGTATTTACTATTTTTTTGACCAGCAGATAGTGTAATGGCTACATTGCTGGGCTCCCATGTAGTCAATCGCCATTTGAATCCCAGTCCCAGTAGCTTAAACTCAATCCAGTAGCTGTGCATGTGTGCCCAAAATCCCTAGAGGAGAAGGGATTGCGACATGGCCATCCCTACTGTGGTGGGAGGGGGGCTATTTCTCACTTTCTATCTGTCTCTTTCTGGCAAGAACATGCAACCTATAACAGAAATCTCTCTCAAAATATATTTATTTTATATGTATATTTATATATGTATATATAGATTTATACGGGTATGTGTGTGTGTGTATGTGTGTGTGTGTGTGTGTGTGTGTGTGTGTATATACATATATATGTCTATTTATCTATCTATCTATCTATCTATATACATATGAATTTTTTATTGAGAAAGAAAGACAGGCACCCTTCACAGAGTTATCTTGTGGTAGTTCTCTACACACCCTGCAGCCAGTCAGGTGAACAGTGGATGCAAACCCAGAGACTTTCAATCTGCACAGACCTGTGCCACCGAGGCTGGGTCTATTATTAATCTAATAAATTTAAATAACCTTCTCTTTCCTCAACTGTACTTAGAAAATTATAGTTCTTTTCATTGTAATTATTCAAAGGTTTTTTTTAAGTCAAATCATGTGGTTATATTTGCTAAACAAAAATACCTTTATATGTACTGTACATTTTTATTTAAATACTAATTCATATGTCTTACTACCACAAATATCTGAGACAAAGCTGGAAACAATATACTGAAATGTTGAAATACAGCAAACATTTTGCTTAGAAACATATTAAAATATTTGAGACAGATGAGACTCCTCCATGAGCCACCATGGGAGCCAAGGATGGGCTATAGCAGTATTCCTGAGGAGGTAGAGTCTGCAGGGGTGCAGAGAGCTACAGGCATGACAACCAGACCTGAAACTTAGGCTGGGATGGAACCCCTGAACTGCTCAGTGAGTCCCTGGAGCCAGCAGGCATTCTGCAGCCTGGACTTCTTCCTCTCCATCCTTCCTCACTTCCCTTGCACATTCAGATCACTGGCCTAACCCACTACCTGGAGTAGACAATAGCTCATTAGAAAAGCCCCTCGGTGGAGTGCCATACTAGCTGACCTAGACATGCTGAGCCTCTGAGGAAAGGCACCGGAGCACCAAGCAGAGAGGTGCCCAGACCCTGATGGCTGCACTAGCACTAAGGCTCAGATTCACCTTCCAGGAGCCACAAAGGAGACAAGGGGACAACATGCAGTGGAGAACTTTCTGGCTCAGCAGCCCACGTGCTTCAGCCCGCATTTCAGTGTCTCAGTGGCCCTGGCAGCCCTCTGCAGCCATAACCTTAGTGGGGCAGTGGGGAACATGGAGTCCTGGCAGGGTCTGCAGTCTTCCTTCAGCATCCACATCAGCAGCAGTGGCCCATCTGGCTTGCAGAACGCGGTGCTCAGTGGTCCTGAGGATGGTGACAGAGGCCCTAGTGGACCACACCTGGTGAGTCCCACCTGGTGTTTGGCTCCTTAGTAGCACATCTCTTCTCTCACATGTTTGGAAGTTTAAGTGCCCTGTATGTTTACAGTTTGTGCCCTCTGGTGAAAGGGAGTTGCATGGTGTGATGTGGTTAACAAGCCAAGAACAACCTATAATGAGGATGTACTGACTAAGGGTTCTGGGACTCGGCAATGTGTCTGAGAATTGCAACAGGGGGATGCCATAGCACCACTGCCTTGTCTATGCCTGGATCATAAAGGACACCTAGGTGGATGAAGTCAGTCTTGCCCTGAGCACCCTCCGTATTGAGTATCAGATTCCTGTTTTACAAGTTTTCTTGTCTTTTTCAGATGCTTCAAAAACCAAGATGATAGGAGAATCAGTCTCTGGAAAACAAAAATTCAGGCATCCTCATCCACAAATCACAATTATGTGAGACTTGGTAATGAAATGGATATACACACAAGGAAAAAAATCCTACTTAAGCGAAGGTAGTGACCATAGAACACAGTGTAACAAACAAGCATATAAAGGAGATGCGGATTCTTAAGAGCTGCGCAGTCCTTAACAGCCATCTACAGGCAATTGGTACCCAGTTTATACTTAGATGCCAAATTTAACTGATTTAAAAGTCAATTTACTTTTTATTATGTTCTATAGAACTACATAGCTAGTTGTCTTTCCATTTTTTAAAAATTTGAATTCTCTTTGTTTTGTCCAACATAGTATTTCTACATTCATCTATATTGAAAGTCATATAATTTAAAACCTAGACATTAAAATTTTAAAGTTAAAACCAAGAAATCAATCACGCAGTAAAACTTTCTCTGAATGGAGACCACAATCTTTAGTTCTTCCATTTTCCCCAAGAATGGAAAATAGAATCTACAGAGAAAAGTTAAAGCATGCTAAAGTGTTTTTTTTTTTTTTTTTTTTTGGAGAGGTTTTTACTATAGGGCACTTGCCCTCACCAGAAAGACAGAGAGAGACAGGGAGAAAGAAAGTGAGAAATCATCCCCCCAGGGGGATGGCCACACTGCAGTCTCTTCTCCTCCATTCTCCTCTCGGAATTCTGGGCATGCACAAACACATGCCCAGCATGAGTTTAAGCCACTGGGTCCTGGACTCGAACAACAGTCAACTACATAAGAGTTCAGCAACATAGCCATTAAGCTAACTGCTGGTCCCAAAACATGCTAAAATTTTTAAATTTTGAGTTTAATATTGTCAGAATGCATTCCAAGGATTAAGTTGAGTTACATTTTACATTGTAGCTAGTTAAATATAGAATTGGCTACTGAATTGAAGTTTATGAAATATATTGTTTCATCTGAAAACTGCTCAACAGTTAGTCAGCAATGAATCATCTTGGAGTGCAATTCTTCAAAAATAGAAATGACCAATTTTAAGTGCTGCCATCTGCAATAACTTTGTTTTAATAAGCATATTTACTTTTCTCTTCATGTAGCTATTTTATTATGATTTGCATTTCTAAGCAGTTTTCTTACATTGCATAAAATGTTTAGCAGGTTTGTAAACTTAACAACATATAAAAAGGGTAAAATAAAATGTTCTGGAATGGAATAAAATGATGAAAGACATCACATTATTTATATTTTACACATCAAGACACTGCAAAAAGAGAAGGGTAAACTAAAACTAGCATAACCAATGATATTAAGATTAGAATGAATATAAATAAAGATATAAAAATTGAACCATGGGGACAGCAGTTAGCATAATGGCTATGTTGTTGGACTCCCATGAAGTTGATCACGGTTCGAGTCCTGGACCTGGAGGCTTAAAACTCATGCCGGGTGCGTGTGCGTGCGTGCCCAAGATCCCAAGAGGAGAATGGAGGAGAAGGGATTGCGGTGTGGCCATCCCCCTGGGGGGTGATTTCTCGCTTTCTGTCTCTCTGTATCTCTCTGTCTGGCGAGTGCACGCGCACTATAGCAAAAACCTCTAAAAAAAAAAAGATTGAACCAAGAATCAATGCAATCACTAGCTAGTTCTTTAACATCAAGAAACTTAACTTTATACAGGTCAACCAAGAGAAGAGAAAAAGATACAAACTGATCCAACAAATATGGAAATCAGACATTATTACTAACTATACAGAAATAAAAAGCTTTATAGGAGAACACTATAAATGATAAATAGTTAAGAATATTTAGCTATTAATCACTATCCATAATATAAGAAATAGCCATTGTTATGAGATCATTTGTATTTTCAAATTTAACAACTAAGATTAGATTTACACAATGATTCCTTTAAAATACGAATTTTAAAAATGGGTCATGGGACCAGCAGATGGTGAAATGGCTATGTTGCTAGGCTCCTATGTAGTTGACCACGGTTCAAGTCCTGGACTCGTCGGCTTAAGCTCATGCTGGTCACATGCATGAGCATGTCTAGGATCCCAAAAGAAGAATGCAGAAGAAGGAATTATGGCATGATCATGCCCCCTGGAGGGTGATTTTCTTGCTTTCTGTCTATCTCTCTCTGTCTTTCTGATGAACACACATATCCTATAGCAAAAACCTCTCCAGAAAATAAATAAATTAATCATTTTCAGTTACTTTGTAACATGAGAATATCTCATTGAAGTACATTTTTAGATCAAAACCCTAAAGATGTTATAAAGGTTTGAGAGATAAAATCTTAGAATGCCTATTTTCTCTGAGACCTCTTCTGTTCTTTTAATGCTTTCCAGGAGTTCTTATTGGGTCTTATCAGAATAATGTAGCACTTGGGAGCAAAGATGCAGACTAGGAGTCCTGCACTGGAGGTCAAGATGGAAAACACCTCCACGGTCACCATGACCTTCCCCTTGGTGCTGTGGTAGACAGGGAGGAAGGTGATCCAGACACTGCAGAACACCAGCATGCTGAATGTGAGGAATTTGGCCTCATTGAATGTGTCAGGCAGGTTCCTGGCTAGGAAAGCCACAGTGAAACTCCCCAGAGCCAAGAAGCCCAGGTATCCCAGGACACAGTAGAAGGCAGTGACCGAGCCCTTGTTGCACATGATGATGAGATTTCTGGGCTCAGAATGTAAGTCTATATCAATGAAAGAGGGAGAAGTTCCCAGTCAGATTCCACAGATAATCACTTGGATCAGGGAGCAAATGGGAATGACAGAGCACCTCGTTGTTCTTCCAGGCTTCATAACCTTAAATGCCAGAATCACAGTAGTGGTTTTGGCCCAAACAGTGGAAACAGCCACAGTGAACACAATGGCAAATGTGACTTGGAGGATGCAGGTGGCTGTGTTAGGATGGCCAATGAACAGCAGAGAGCAGAGGAAGCACAAGAGGAGACAGATGAGCAGTATGAAGGTGAGAATGTGGTTATTGGCCTTTACTATAGGAGTGTCTTGTTGCTTCACAAAGATCCCCAAAATCACAGCTGTGGCCACAGAGAAACACAGAGCCATACTGACCATGGCTGTCCCCAAAGAATCTTCAAAATCCAGGAATGTCACAGACTTGGGGACTTGGGGGAGACATTGTGTTCTCTCACTGTTTGGATACTCTTGAGCTAAGCATTGGATATACTGTTCTGCATCTGGTGGAAAAGGAAAAAAACCCAGCATTTCACTTTCACAGATTCTTTATTTGTCTCATGTTAAAGAAATAATCACCATTGTGTCATTTGAGTACAGACATCCGCTAATGTGTGGAGAGTGGCTATTCTGAGTAAACATGGTGATTTTCGGAAACATGTGGAAACATGGGTCTGTGAGCTGTCATTTACATGGAAATGAAAGCAATAAACATGTGAGCACACTGGCTGCATGCTGTTATCGATACTACGGAGCAGTATTAGTCTAAAGGAATTTGCATGTGTTTATCAGAATCAGCCCCAAAGGATCAGAGAAATTACATGGTGCCAGTTGTCCTCACATCATCAGCCGATTAATATCTGAAAACAACTGGCTTTGCATTCCATTTTATCTTTCCTTATTTTCTGTCCTATATAATAATAAACCTGAGACATGGCTTTCTCCATCAGAGAAGTTGGGCCCACCCAATCCTCACTTTTTTATAGCTGTATGTCTTTGCGTGTTTATTTTTATGCTTATTTCTAATCCATGCCCCCCACTCAGAAAAAATGTGTTCTGTAGAGTGGGTCCAGACACTGACATGATATGCCCAGCAGGCCCAGGCACTGATGTGAACCAAAATGCACTAAGTTAAAGTTCTGCATTGACCCTGGGAGAACTCTCTGAGCTTCAGATCACTTCAAACCTTTGAAAAAGGATTTGAACCTGCAAGGATACTGGTTGGTCCATCCTGTGGCTTAATGATGTTACCAATGGTGAGAATTCATTCCAGATCTCTTTTCTACTTTCCCCTGTGTTATTCTCATGATAGGCCTTTTATTCTGATGATTTATAATCATATTTTTAGCATGATAGAAATGAATGGTTTTATTATTTGTATTCAGAAAAATATTACCTATTTCTCCCAAGATATTTTATCTTCTATCACTACCTGATTTATTTTTCATATACAACCCATTGCCTAGTAATACAAGACTTTTCTCATTGTGCTTTTTCACTTGTGGTCAATATTCTTATATATTTTCCGTGTAAATGCTTAAAATTCATTGATTAAATAAATTAACATTAGGATTTTGATTGAAGTTTTATTGCTATTACATATGTGTAGTTTTTAAAATTTCTATTTTAATTATATTATAAAAGATTGAGTTTAATTTTAGAATTTTCAGTTTATACCTACAAGTATGACTTATTAATCTTGTTCATAAGTGATAAGTAAAAATACTTACAACTCTGCACTGACCTACTTATAAGGTCTCCATTCCAATTGCTCACCTCTATTGGAGAGAGCATGAAAGCTGTCATAAAGCATGTGCAAATTAATTGGTATGTAAATATTTTGATTACATTTTATTTACAGAAATAGGTGGCAATTTGATTTCTCCAGTCTTAAAGTTCTTATTTATTTTAGGATTTTGCCATAGAGTATGTGCACCCATCAGAGACAAAAAGAGTGGAAAAGTGAGAAAAAACTCCCTGGGAAATGGCCACACCACAATCCATTCTTGTCTTGAGATTTTAAACACACAGGCATCCGGAACTCAAAC